TTTTTGTATCTTGGTTTTTTTCAATAATTACATTTTCTTCGATTTTTCTTGATACAAACTTCTCACATCCTTCTCCAGAGACAACCTTTCTTGAACAAATTATTATGTCAAATTGTTCTAAGGTTTAAGAAAATCGTGACAAAGCTCATCAAATAAAAATACGTACAAATTATTATAACAGTAAATGGAGAGTGTATAAAATTTAATCAAAATTCATCTGTTTCCTTGTTAATATTATATAGATTCATATATTATATGATTTTTTTTTCTTTTTTGATGTAGCAATAAGCATAAATTAAATTCAAGAATATATACCGCTATAGTGCTTAGGTTTAATATGATACGATTTGACTTGTTTGACTTTGTTATTAAAAGATGTTTTCGATGCTAATTAGACTGTCAATAGTTGTTAAAAGGAGGATGAACAATTTTCACACTTAAAAAGGGAAAAAATCGTTGAGAATGAATGAAAAAGGGTCTCAAACTTTTCCCCAATAGTCTAAGGTGTCAAATTCCTCTTTATGAGATTTTTTGCATATATGATGTTTCAAAATCATGAAAAGGAGGGGAAAAAATGGAATTTGCAACCCATGTGACCTAATGTCGATGGAATAAGTTCCTTTGTAGAAGTTGTACGTTTCTCAATAAATTAACACCATGATTTCAAAATCAATAATTATTCATATACGTACTTCCTTAGTACATATACAATTTTATTAATCATCAATTACTAAAAATAATATTTTATTACTCCTTTTAATATTAATTATTTAATCATCCATGTAGAATAAAGTGAGAAGACAAACGTTAGTATTTTTCAAAGTATTTTGTAAAAACGACCATTAGTCTTAATAAATACTTTCTTTATTACATAAAATTAAAGTAGTTATGTTCAAAGGTATTTAATGTTCCTTGTTTCAACTGAATTAATTTATGGCTTAACACTTACACTAAACACTAAAATAAACTACTAATAGACTAAGAGTGTATAGTACTTCTACGAATTTAATAACATTTTGTTGTAGCTTTCAGGTATTGTATTCCGTATTTAGGGTTTGTTCTTGTCCTAAATTTATAATATTAACAAAATTTTATTATAAAAAAATATCAATGAAATAATATTTATCAACGAATATTATTAATAGAAAAAAAATTGTTAGTAAAATAAAATTTATTATAAGATTTTATTAATGAGTTTTAGGATTTTAATTATCAGTAAAATTATCTGTCTATTATTCATAAAATTTGTTAAGTAATTCAAAATTTTTATTATTGATAGATATTATTGTCGACAAATTTAGTTAATAATTTGTTAAGTATATGTTTTTGTGATTACATAAATATAAAATATTGTTGTGATTATTATTTGTATCCACTTATTTTGATGAGTTATTTTTCAATACAAATATTTTTAAAAGCTTTATATTTCATTAGTGTTATTAGTATCCATTAATATAAGAATTAAATGAAAATTTTTATACATATTTATATGAATGTAATTATTTGCCAAATATATCTCTATTATGGTATTTGGTTTATACTAACAAATAAAAGAGATGTTGTCCAGTTTTTATGAGAAATTCACATTCTTTATCGTTTAACGTATTTGTAGTGTAGTGTTAGGGATTACGAGTGATAGAGATTGTAATGTTATATTGAAGTTATAACTCAAATGAATTTTTGTTTCCTATTTATGGTTTTATATTATAATTAATATAGTATTAATTGAATGGTTCACCTGGGTACTTTAGAATATATTTTACTTTTTTCGACTAATTTCTAAAAATCAAATCTCATCTTAATTTATAATATATCCACTTTCATGTTATTGACTTGGAAATCAATGCTAAGATGATACCAAGTTTTGGGAAAACGATATAAATTAGACTTATGGAATGATATTAATCACATTTTCTAATAATTGATCTTTAATTACACTACTATTTTACCATTTTAATTACATACAATAATTCACTATTAATTAGATGCGTAAGTAATTTATATTTTCCGTATATGATCATAAATTATTTGAATTATTATATAAAACTCTGATTGATATTTAATTTTAGAGTAATAGAAATCCTGGTAACTATGTATATTACTGTGTTGGATGACTCATACCGGTAGACAACATTTCAAATTCTTTCCACAGACGCGGATGTTGTTGGAGTCCCTTCAAACCAAACTTTTAAAATTTTATATATGAGAATTTACGAGATTTAAATTAGGTACACTTTTAATTTTTTTTAATAAAACACTTTAATATTGATAAAAAATAAAACATAAAATTATTAATATTTTTTTTCTTTCTATTAATTTACTTATAGTTTTTTTCATCTCCACTTTTTACATGATTTAAAAAAAATGTTAACACATAAATAAAAAAAGAAAATCAATTTTTTCGCTAATTATAAAACATGATGTTAATGATCTAATTTTTTATCTTTGTTATAATGATAATAATTAAATATATGAATTTTAAGCGTATTATTTTAGCTCTTCCAAAATTATTAGTCAAGATCTGTCACATAAGAAAAAAAGAAAGTTATTTAATACTGGTAACTATCATTTGATAACCTTTTTATAAGTGTAAAGTAGTTCTAAAAAAAAGAAGGAAAAATAGAGAAGAATAGTGTCAAATGGAAATGAAAATTTTTTTGGTATCAAATTATCATTGTCTTGTGAAAATTTTTTTATTACTTTAACTCGTACTTAGATTATACTCGTAATTCATTTTATGATTTAGGTATATAGAGAAATACTAACTTATCAAATTTTTAGAAGTTAGGATCAGATGACCCTATAATATTTTAGAATTTGTTTACTTAAATTGGTATTAGACAATTTAAATTCTTTTCAAAGTTTATACAATAATATAGAACTTTAGTATATATTTATGTTGGACCATGATATCTTAACAAGTTTTTTTAATAATTTTTTAACAATAAACTATGTTTCACTATTTTATTGGTCTGTATATTTGAAACAGACCAATCAAAAGTTACCACATAGACTATTAAAAATATTTGTTAAAAAAACATTTTCCATTTATGTTTGTTTGTTTATGATTGTTTCAAAACTTAAACCATATCTTACTACCTAGGTCTAACTTTTTATTTTACAGGTTGGAAGTACTCCAAAAACAAATTTAAATCATACATTAAAAAAGGTATTCCATATCTATTATGATTGATCATAGATTACTTATAGAATGTTAATTTTTATAGTAATTATGTTAGAGCTGTCAAATTGGTTATAACGTGCGAGTTAATTTGGTCCACCAAGGATTTCGACCGGGTTGGATTTGAAAAAAATATTTTTTTTATACGAGTCAATTTTTAACTCGACTCTTCCGGGTTGAACCTGTGGTGAGTCGGGTTGGCTCACCAACTCACCTAGTTTTGTTTTATTAATTTATTATGTTATGAAATCCTAAAAAATACCATCTGAGCGACTTATTATATGTGGATTGTATTGTATTTTTTTTATTATTTTGAATTATTTTGAGTTTAACATCATTTTGAGGATGAAATTTATTTAGATTTAAATTACAAAAACTTTTGTAATATTTTTTATTTTAAAAAGAAATATAATTTAGTAAACCAGTAAGTCAATCCGTTTAACCCACTAATCCGTAGTGGAGTTGAGCCATGTTCAATTTTTTCTAACTTGTTAATAAATGAACCGGTTTGGATTGACTCACTAAGTAATCAATCCGTGGTGAGCTAGGCCACATCGGACCAGTGACCTATTTTCACACCACTAAATTATATTCATAATTGAAGAAAACATACTCAGTAGTATGTTTGATATTAATGGGTGTAAAATATATATGTATTCTATATTGAGTAAATAAGTAACAAAAGTGTATATTTGATGTATTAAATCCGTTAGCTATTTTCAATATAGATTAAGGAATCAATGTAAAATCTTTACTACCACCGATATAGAATAGTGTGTTAGGCCTTTTGAGTGCCACTGTTCATATTGCAAATAAAATCGATACCCAACAGAAATTGTACTTTCTTTGCTTTATCTAACACAAATAATATTCTTTGAAAAAAAATCTAAAAAAAATATTTAGGACTTTTAATGAAGCAGATATTTTAAGATAAAGAAAATAAGACACGAAAAAAAGGACAGGTGATTTGTATCCAATAGAAACACATTTCTACCGGACAAAAGAGAGAATAAAAATAAGCATAGATTCGTCCACTTATCAGTTCCAATTATATTCCTCATCATGAAATTCCTAAATCTTAATGTTTTATTGCTTCAAACTCGTATCTTTTTTATTAATAATGGTTGAAAATATCAAATTCATTAGAAAACTAATTTATAAGTGAGATACAATCTTACCTCATAATTTTATTTTAAGTCGTTTTAATAAAAATAAATTAAATTTAAATTCATTTTTTAATATTATATCTTAATGAATGAGATATTGTTTTGTCTATAATTTTATGTGCGAGATATATATGTTTTGATGCGAAAAGTGTGGATTGAAAATTATAAATTAATTAGATAAGATTAATTTATACTTTAAAGTTAAATATGCTTTCATTATTTAATTCATAAACTAAATTATAAATTTTTTCATCTATCAACTTTAATAAAAATAATGTAAAACCAACCAACAACGGAATGTTTTCCATATGATAAATATAAAATTCCATAGTAAACTATATATAACTTGTGTCTGTCATTTAACCAGAATGATTTTTTTTTACGTGACTTTCATGAAGTTCAGAAACAAATTGCTCTATAATTTAATTTCAACACGAAACATAACTTTTTATAATAATTTTAATTAGGATAAAAAAAAATATAGAATCCTACGTTTATAAATTCTCACTTTACAAATCAGAGCGGAAAATTACTTCCAATTAATAACACGAAGCATATGATATAATTGCATGTGCTTATCTAAACGCCTTGTTTCTTGAAAACTTGTTATATATAAATGGAGAAGCATCCTTAGTCCTGGCAACATGTATAACATGTTTGGGTGGAGACCTCGGAAAAAGAAGCTTCCTAATGTTTTGTCAGTAAGTACTCTGTTTGGTTTTTTGTCAGTGCAATATTGCATGAATACTCCTAAACCAAGAATGATAGGTTACCAATTTCTTCTGATAATTTTTTGATAATAGATTATGTGTCACTATTGATCTGTATATTTGAAACAGATCAATCACATGTTATTACGTATTGTAGATTATGTATTCCTTTTTGTATCTGATTTAGTGTGTATTTGAAACGGATCAATCACATGTTATTACGTATTGTAGATTATGTATTCCTTTTTATATCTGATTTAGTGTGTATTTGAAACGGATCAATCACATATTATTACGTATCGTAGAAAAATTGTTAAAAAAAATTGTTAAAAGAACATTTCTCTTTGTATCTGTTTTAGTGTCATTTTCAGGTTATTTTGTTGCAGATAGTTGAACTTAAGGTGCATATGGATTGCGAAGGATGTTAAGGAAGAATTAGAAGGGCAATCTCGAAATTGAATGGCAAGAGCTCAACCATTGAAAAAGTTTTAATTTTATTTGATCTTAATGATTGTAATAAGTTAGTAATTTCTAGGGTTGATGAAGTGTGAAATTTGGCATGCAGGAGTTGATAGCTTGGACATAGACATGGATCAGCAGAAGGTGACAGTAAGAGGGTATGTGGAGAAAGGGAAGGTGTTAAGGATTGTGAGAAGAACTGGAAGAAGAGCAGAATATTGGCCATTTCCTTATGACAGTGAATACTACCCTTATGCCTCTCAATACTTGGATGAGTCAACTTTTTCTTCTACCTATAACTACTACAGACATGGTTACAATGAGAGTGTTTATGGCTACTTTCCTGATCAAGCATATTCTACTGTTCAGGATGAAACAGTCTTTCTCTTCAGTGATGACAATGTTCATGCACCCTGTGCCATCATGTGAATCATTATCTACCTGCCTCTGCTCATATAATCACAACTAATCAAGTTGTCTGAGTTTGAATCATCAAAGGAAATAAAAAATAAAAAGAGAGTTGCTATGGTAGCCAGATAAATCTAAGGTTTTTTTTATGAATCTTTTGATTTAATCGTGAATGAATTTCACAGCAGCTATACAAAATTATAGTAGTCCTAATCTTGTGTTTGGATTCGACATGATTAAGAGAATAATTATTTTTATATGAACTGAAGTATTTTATGGTAAAATATGTTGTTTGGATAAAGAATTTTGAAGAAATTAAAACTTTTTAATTTTATTAGAGTAATTAGATTATTTAAAATTAAAGAATTTAAAATTTTATTTTTAAAAAATTAGAGTTTAAAATTTTTCACATGATTATATTTATATTTTGATATTTGTACTTTGGAGTTTGGATTCGATCATCCAATTTAATTTTGACACAAAGCTTCATTATTTCTATTTTTTTTTACATAAAGAAATATTAGTATACAAAATAAAAATATTTCTTTGATGTAAATTAAGAAACATTTTTGTAAATATAGAATAAAAAAATCTTATAAAACATTCACTATAAAATAACATAAATCTAAATCAGTTAAAAAAAATATTAATACTGACATTTTTTAATTTTTAATAATTATTTGATATTTAAATTGTTTTGAATTTGATGACAATCCAAATATATCTATTCACAAAATTTAAATTTTATATAAAATTAAAACATTTAGAATATAAATATTTTAAAATAAAATCCATTCATATTTAATGTGACATTCCAATCACATGGTATAAATGAGCTATCATATATTCAATAAAATAGAACAGTTAACCGACATGACATATAAAGTTTAATTACAATCATTTAACATAATATAAATCAAACTTCATAAACAAGTTATTAAAACAAAATTATATACAAAATATTAGGTCTAAAAGAAACTAAACATCAACTGCATCTCTATGCTTGCTCTACCAAGACATCATCATCCTTTGCTTACACTCATTAGATTATCGTCACCAAGAAAACAACGCACAATAATACCCAAACAAAATAAGCTAGTGATACAAAATCAATCATAGCATATCAAGATTTCATACATATGTCATGTTTCACACAAAACAATTCAAGCATTCTAATCATGCCTTTGACCTAGACTTGAACTATCTAAATTTAGTATGAATATCGAGCTATGGTGGGTCGTGCACTCGTGGTGACATCTACTACTCTGTAGAGTCATTGCCAATGATTTTCACCCTATTACACTCACAAGGTTAGTTTGTACTGCGTATTAGGTCATACTAGAAGCACCTAGATTAAGACCTCCTACTACTCTCACCACATGTATCACTCCTCTCAAATCGAGAATGAATGATCATTAGAGTGTCAGGATAACCCTCAAGACTAAGCTCCATGCATTCATGCCAACAACACTTTGATACAACCGTTAAGAATTCTCCTTAGAGCTTTTACACACCTCATTCCATTTAATCATATGTTCCAAACCACACCACAGATCATGCAATAAACCACTATACCATTTAAAACTATAAACATAAGAGAAAGGAAGTTAAAACACCCAAATAGACTCGAACCCACTCGTCCAACGAGCAGCCAGAAATAGACTTCCTAGCGAGCATAGGCTCGCCCAGCAAGAGACAAAACAACAAGCTTCACAACTCCAACGAGCTGACTCGCTTAGTCTCTGAAACTCTCTGCTAGAAACCTTGTATACTCGGTTGACGAGCAACCTTTACTCGCCCACGAGAGCCAAAACAGCAAGCTCCACAAGCCCAACGAGTTGACTCGCCTAGCCATTGGAACTCACTGCCAGAACTCCCATAAACTCGCCCAGTAAGCTCTTCTTGCTCGCCTAGCCTCTCTACATAATTCTGCAGCACCAAAACTACAAAATTTGCACCACTAAACCCCTATAACATATCCTAAACACTTTTACCAACTTCTAACACTCCTAGATTGAGTTCTAAACTAAAATGGACCTAACCAAATGTGTATAACCCAACTTAAACTAGTTTTCAATTATTTTACAACAAGATTCCAACTTAAAAACAACTAAAACCTCACTTTATAGACTTTAAATCAATTCTACTTATTTTAACTCATAGAAAAGCAACTTATGGACTTTAACAAGTCAAAAATGACTTAACAACATACTTCAAACCTTTCATTTTGACACTAAACCTATATTTCAAAATCTTACTAGTCCAAACCTACAAAATGAACTTAAAAACTTTATAAACTCAAATTTTTGACTACTCACACCTCATACTACAGATTGTTAACAACTAACAACCCCAACAAGTCTTAATTGGTCACAAATTATCATATATACATCAATTTTATCCTTTTAACTCGTAATTCAAAATTTCAACTATCAACACCTCTATTTTGGACTAAAAAGACCTATTGTTTCACCTAATCTTTTTTTCTCAATAACTTAGCAACATTTAACACCACCAACATCCAATAACAGAAAAAATTCATAGCTAAAGCAAATCTTAACAACATCATCACATTCCATAAATATCATTCACAACATCAAGCATCCAAAGACTAGTTAGAATCATTCAATTACAATTTATACTAAAATTGATATTTACTTTCAACTAAATCAACATAATTTACTACCAAATCATAAATCATACAATTCAAAGCAAAAGTAGAAACAAAGAAAGTTCACTAGCTTCCTTTACCTTAAGAAGAACTACCAAGCTCTAAACACGCACAATTGTTGCTTCAAGCACAAAGAACTCTAGAAACGTCTATAAAACACAGAATTGTGATCAAAGAGAGTCCTTAAAACCTCTGATCAACAAGGAACTAGGAAAAGAGACCATAAGACACATGCAACAAAGAATTTACGTGCACAATCTCAACCTAAGAACTACATGAAAAAGTGTTGGGAATCCAAGAGTGAGTCAAAGTCCCACATTGAATAGAAATGAGAAAGTATAGCAGTATATAAAGGTGAAAGACCCATTAAATCATTGTCTTAATATTTTTGGTAGAGAGTGGTGTCGATCCCTTATATAGTTAGATCAGATGTTATTGGTGTTTGTATAACGCATAGATAACCTCCTCCTTGATAGACCCAAAAAAAAGGAGTTGAAACTTACTTCACTGCGAAAATCTTATAGGCACTTTCTAATTGTCAAACAAATGATCAAGAAGTTATAATACACAAAAAAATAATTTATTCTTTATTTTAATTTTTATATATTTAAAAAAAGACGGGTTAACGGGTTAATCCCACCTTTAGTCCACTAATTTGGCTATCTAGGTGGGCATGTTGAATAGACGAGTTGAAAAATACAACCTGGCTTGCCAAATTTTATCAAGTTGACTCGTGAGCATGAATTCGTTTTTTCATTCCTAAACACAAGCTTTAAACATTTCATAGTACATGTCAAACGTTAACCCCTAATTATTTTATGCTCGTAAAGAATACAAGCTTCTTAACTTTGTCAATATGATTTCCCAACAGATCACTGTCACAAAGATCTAACGAAGGACTTACTAAAAGTATATTTGTGCAAATGACACTCTAGAAAAAGGCAAGTTGTAGCTGTAGAGTGAACCATCTGTGTCAAAACCTGCACTATGCTCAAAGGTGGAAAGAAGTCACCTACCCTACTTGTAAGTCTTTTTCATGCTCCAATGGTGTTGTCAAAGTAGGTGCACGTATTCAATGCTTCACACTAAGAGCATTAATGCATCTCAAAGCCCCAAACGGAAGAAGAGGTTGCTTCATATAGAAGACTTTCAAAGTGGTCAGAAAAGAAATTGTAATGCCTATATTCTTGATGTGCCTATATAAAGATATGTTACAAAAGAAGAAGATGCAAATTGAAAAACTAAAAATGAAATAAGGAAGAGATGGTACAAAACATGCCACCTTAGAGAGAATTGGAAGCATAAGTGTAATGGAGATGCATCACTTGAAAAATGTTCTTCAAGATAAGATCCAACAAACTCTCAATAAATTCAAGGATGATTACAAGTCTATTTATTCAAGTGTGCCTTTCCTAGAAAGAAGTGTCTTTATCTATAGGTCATGTGGTTTGGCCAAATGTTACAAAGAAATGGATTAAAAATAATGTGAACATATTTTTAATGATGGTCTAAGTGTGAACGCAAAACCAATAAATACATTGACGTGAACTTAAGTCTAATAATTTGTGAATGTACTAATGCACTAATCCTATTATTACTCAAACTTAATCAACTAATCATGTGTTAACTATGCTTTAGATAACATGTGAAGTTGTTACAACATTTAAAAGGGATGCGGGATAATTTATATTTATCACACGAGCTTGAAAGTGACTAGTGAAGAAAATTATAACTTTCGATTGACTTTCTAACATTGGGCCATCCATCTCTTAGATTTCTAAAATATTTTCAAACATTTTATAATCTTCTCTAAATGATTCTAGAAGCTCCTAAATTTACAAGATCTTTTAATGCTTCTACCTCTTCTCAACTCCTATTCTCTTTTTTCTTATCTTCCATGATTCTGTGTTACTAGAGATTCTTATCGGCATTGATGATTCTTATATGTCTTTTGTTGAGCTTGACAATATTGATGTAGTGTTCAAAGTTAATTTGGATAGGCACCTGCTTTGAGAACTTCAAGATGTTCAGCATTACAAATTATTTAACCTATGTAAAAAAGGTTTTCTTGCAACGAACGGTGGAAGTGTTGGTGGTAGCAGAAAATTGTTTGCACTGAGAGTTTTCCTTGTAGTTAAGAGCAATTATGAGTTCTTTCATAACGTATCTCCTTTGTATTTGAGAATGAATCGTTATGTTTATGGGGTTTTATTGCAAAAGATATATGTCAGGACCAAGGTGTTTAAAATTGTGTTTTTATAGGAGACGCTTGTGTAATGCATGAAATGTGTTAGATCGTTCACTGGTTATATAGCCTTTAGACACTCTAGTCTAATGAATGTGAAAAATGATGCATTAGAATTATATAGAAAAAGACATATTATTAATCATATTTTTTAACAAATTCTA